ACATTGAAAAATTATTTTGGTAAATCATTGAATGATGCTGGAAACTTCAAAAGAAGATGGAAGTAATGGACAGAGTCACTGTACCAAAAAGAATTAGTTGATGTTCAATCATTTCAAGGGCACACATTATCATGAACCAATGGTACTGAAGGAAGAAGTCAATGCAGCACTGAAGGCATTAGCAAAAATCAAGTCTCTAGGAAGTGACTGAATACAAACTGAAATATTTCAACAAACTGACAGAGCAATGGAAGCACTCATCATCTATGGTAAGATATTTCAAAGAAAGCTACCTGGCCACTGAAGAGATCCATATTTGTGCCCATTCCAAAAAAGGTGATCCAACAAAATGTGAAATCAACTAAAGATATCATTAATATCACATGTAAATAAAAATTTGTTGAAGTTAGATCTAAAACAGTTGCAGCTAGATTCAGAAGAGGACGTGGAACAAAGGAGATCATTGCTGCCATCAGATGGATCTTGGCTAAAAGCAGAGAAAATCAGAAAGAAGTTTAGTTGTGCTTTATTGACTATGCAAAGGCATTCAGCTCTGTGGAGCATAACAAACTATCAATAATATTGCAAAGAATGGGTATTCCAGAACACTTTATTGTGTTCATGAAGAACCTGTACATAGACCAAGATGCAGTTGTTGGAGCAGAACACGGGGATACTGAATGCTTTAAAATCAGAAAAGGTACACATCTAAATTGTAAACTTTCACCATACTTATTTAATCTGTAAATTAATCTATACATTTAATCTGTAAGAAGAATACGGCATTAAGATTGGGGGAAGACACAATAACAACCTGTAATGTGCAGATGGCACAACCTTGCTTGTTGAAAGCAAAGAGGACTTGAACTATTTGCTGATAAGATTAAAAGACAAAGTTTCATTATGTTTCATAATGTAAAGAAAACAAAGATTCTGAAAACTGGATCTATGAACAACATCATGATAAATGGAGAAAAGATTGGAGTTGTCAAACACTTCATTTTGCATGGATTGAGAATCAATACTCATGGAAGCAGTAGTCAAGATATCCAATGTGTATTGCTTAGATAAAATCTACTGCAAAAGACCTCTTTAACATGTTCAAGAGCAAAGACGTCAACTTGAGGACTAAGGTGTGTTTGAACTAAGCCATGCTATGACCTCATATGCATGTTTATGCTGGACAATGAATAAGAAAAACCAGAGAAGAATCAATGCATTTGAATTATGGTGGTGGCGAAGAATATTGAAAGTACCAAGTACTTCCAGAAGAACAAACAAATCTGTCTTGGCAGAAATATAACCAAAATGTTCTTTAGAAGTGAGGCAGACAAGACTTTGTCCCTCATGTTGTTGTTGTTGTTGTTGGGTTCCATCGAGTCAGTACCCACTCATAGAGACCTTATGCACAGCACACGGAACACTGGCCAGTCCTGGGCCAACATCACAATTGTTGCCACGCTTGAGTCCATTGATGCTGCCACTTGGCCAATCCATCTCGCTGGGGGTCTTCCTCTTTTTCTCTGACCCTCCACCTTACCAAACATGAGATCCTTCTCCAGTGACTGGTTCCTTCTAACAATATGCCCGAAGTACAAGAGACGAGGTTTGGCCATCTTGGCCTCTAAGGAGCACTTTGGCTGCACTTCTTCCTACACATATCTGTTGGTTCTTTTGGCAGCCCATGGCACTTTCAATATTCTCCTCCAACACCATAACTCAAAAGCATCAATTCTTCTACAGTCTTCCTTATTCACTGTCCAGCTTTCACATGTTATTGAAAGTACCATGGCTTGGGTCAGGTGCACTTTAGTCCTCAAGCTGACATCTTTGCTCTTCAACACTTTAAAAACGTCTTACGCAGCAGATTTGCCTAATGCAATACATTGTTTGATTCCTTGACTGCTGCTTCCATGAGTGTTGATAGTTGATTCAAGAAGAATGAAGTCCTTGTCAACTTCAATCTTTTCTCCGTTGATAAGAATGCTGTTTATTGGTCCAGTGGTGAGGCTTTTGTTTTATTTACATTGAAATACAATCCATACCAAAGGCTATGGTCTTTGATCTTCATCAGTAAGTATTTTAGGTCCTCTTCACTTTCAGCAAGCAAAGTTGTATCATCTGCATATCACAGGTTGTTTATGAATCTTCCTCCACTCCTGATGCCATGTTTTTCTTCATAGAACCCAGCTTCTCATATTATTTGCTCAGCACACAGGTTGAATAAGTATGGTGAAAGAATACAACCCTCTCGCACACCTTCCTTAATTTTAAACCATTCAGTGCTTCCATGTTCTGTTCGAACAACTGCCTCTTGATCCAGGTTCAGATTCTTCATGAGCACACTCATACTTCGCAATGTTGTCCATAGCTTGTCATGATTCACAAATTGTCCCTCATACTTAGTACATACTATCAGGAGAGACCAATCCCTGGAGAAGGAGCTCTTGCTTAGAAAGGCAGATGGTCAATAAAAAAAAGAGGAAGACCCTCAACAAGATGGATTTACACAGTGGCAAAACCAATAGGCTCAAACATGACAACAATGTTGAGGATAGCACAGTATTGGGCTGTGTTTTGTTCTGTTGTGCACAGGATAGCTATGAGTTGGAAATGACTCAATGGCACCTAACAATAACAACAATATCTGTAAATACAATAATGTAAACAAAAAAATTAAGAGCAGAGCTTAACAAGGAGCCCATGTTAGTAAAAGGCTCTGTAGCTTGAGCTTTATTAATTTCAACCACTGTATAGATAAGGCTGATTGGTCCATGTGGGGAGTGCAGAGTCTCTAAGATAAGCATCGGACTGCAAATCATAATGTCGGTGGTTTGAGCCCACCAACCAAACATGAGGCTTTCTGCTCCCATGAAGTTTTACATCTTCAGAACCCCTACGCAGAGTCGCTATGAGTTGGAACTGAATCAACAGCACTTCGCAACAACAACTGGTTCATGTATCATTGCTTATTCTTATATTTGTTGTTGTTGTTAAGTGCCATGGAGTTGATTTTGACCCATAGCAACCCTGTATTGGGTTTCCAAGGAGCAACTGGTGAGGTTGAACCACCGATGTTGCAGTCTGACGCATTAGCCCACAGCGCCACACCATGACTCCACAGCACCACACCAGGACTCCTTATATTATATTATTTTCTCTTTATATTATATTCTTATATTACATATTTATATGTAATATGTATTATATAGCATATATGTAATATATGTTGTTGTTGTTTTTATGTGCCATGGAGTCTGTTCCGACTCATAGCAACCCTGTACAGGGTTTCTGAGGCTATAAATCTTTACGGGAGCAGAAAGCCTCATCTTTCTCCCACGGAACAGCTGGTAGTTTCGAACTGCTGTCCCTGAATTTAGCAGCCCAATTCATAACCACTACGTTACCAGAGCTCCTTATATGTAATATATTTGTTGTTGTTGTTATGTGCCATGGAGTCAGTTCTGACTCATAGCGACCCTGTACAGGGTTTCCGAGGCTGTAAATCCTTACGGGAGCAGATAGCCTCATCCTTCTCCCGCGGACCAGCTGGTAGTTTCAAACTGCTGACCTTGTGGGTCGCAGCCCGATTCGTAACCACTACGCTACCAGAGCTCCTTATATGTAATATATAGCATATATGTAATATGTGTAATCTGTAATATCTATATTACAGATTACATATTGCTAAAATCATATAGAGAGTCCTGGTGTGGTGCTGTAGGATAAGCACTGGACTGCAAACCACAAGGTTCAAACCCACCAGTTGCTCCTCAGAAACCCTATACAGGGTCGCTATGTGTCAGAATCCACTCAAGGACACTTAACAACAAAAGAGATAGGATTGCACATCAATTGTATTCCTATTATTTTAGTTTTACTTGCTGTTGGACTCCTGGTGTGGCACCATGGGATAAACACTGAACTTCAAGGTCTGTTTGAACCACAAGGTCAGCAGTTTCAAACCTACCAGCTGCTCCTTGGAAACCCTATACAGGGTCACTACAAGTTGGGACAGACTCAACAGCACTTAACAATAACAACAATACTAGTTGTTAAGTGCCATGGAGTTGGTAGTTTTACTTAAGTGCTGAAGAAACTTGCTTACATAATGAAGAAGTTGGGGACAGAAAGAGTTTTGTTAATGTAATATCCTCAGTTCATTGCATTCCTTTTTGCATCATTTGTCAGCAATCAATCACATCATAATCTATCATCATCATTTTTAATGATCTATCACTTGTTCACTTCATGAGGTCTAAAAGCAAGAATTGGAAACCACAGGAGTTGCAAAAATCTATGTTACCCCACAAATTATTTCACTATGTTTCTCAAGCTCAACACTATTATTTTAAAGTGTCCCCTGCATTGCAACCTAAGGGCAATGTGAGTAGGAATCGATGAATGAGGAAAAGCTCAAAGGAAAGGTGAAAAATGAGAGGTTTGTCCTTAAGCAGACCAATTCTAGGGAAACATGAGTAGGGAAGTTGAAACCCGGAAATTGATTTGCTTTAAATGGTGTGCCTGTTCATCCTGTGAAGGGCTGCAATTATAGCTGGGTTACCTGTAACCTAGTTTGACGCCTACTCATCTACAAGCCCCTACACAATCTGTCTCGCTCCCTGCATCTTCTGACATCATCTTCTATTACTCTCAATCTGCCTCCAAACAGCACTCATCTTGTTGCTGTTTCTTCAATGCTCCTAGCATTCTTCAGACTTGAAGCTTTTGCTTTTCCCAAACTGTTCAGTGGCACCTTCAGAGTCACAACATCTTAGAACCCTGTTTAAACTTGTCCTCTTACACATGCCCAATTCCTATCTTTCTTTTTAAATTTTTCTCCATAGCATATAGTAGTTGCTCAGTAAATGTTTATTAAATGAATTAATTTCTATGGGCTGTAAATTAATAAGTTAATATAAATCATGAAAGAATGCTTCCTGCTATGAAACGGTGCTTGAGTTAGAGAAGCGAGGTAAATGTGCACATTTGGATTGCAATATGTCAGCAAGCAGTATGGGAATCATATCAGATTTTTCTGGATTGAATCCCTGACATAGAGAATACCAGGACTGTGTCAGCATCTGCTAGCAGAAAACCTTCTACCTCTTCAATACTTGAGAAAAAGTCAGGACCTTCTAGAGCACCTGGAAATTTAACAGGTGAAACTTAAACAGCGTAAGTGTGTTTGAAACATGTCCCCAGGCCTCTTGCTCCTGGTCCATTTGAACTTGTTTCCACAGCATAAGAGTTAGCTGAAAAGAATGCTAAAAGATAACTGGTAAGAAGAACAGGAGTTTTATTCTTGCAAAATAATATAGTACAGGTAAATTTGAAATTAAGTTGAAAGGAAAAGGGAATGAAAATAGACTTCAATTCTTCAGTTGGCATTATCTCTTGGTAAAATTACTTTTGTCTTTTTTGCAGAGAATAAAACAGAGAAACTTCCCTGAGAGGTAAGTATCCAAAATAGGCTCCTGCATGCTCTTGACTTTTGAAAGATCATACAATGGAGTAAGACTGAGCTATTATACCTTTGTGGTATTTTGTCAGCCACCAAAATCTGTGTAGGTTATGCTAACAGATAATTTAAACATATATTGTGCTGAAAAGGAATGGATATATAAAAGAAAAATTGGTAGATACTATAGGTTGAGGTAGACCTTTCATTATGCTTGTAGATAAAATTAGGCCCTTACAGTATGATAAGTATCTAATATGCATGTTCACTAATAAGATATTTTTTGTCGTTGTTGTTGTTGTCATTAGGTGCCATTGTGAGTCGGTACCAACCCATAGTGACCTTATGTACAGCAGAACGAAACACTGCCCAATCCTGGGCAAATCTCACTACTGTTGCCATGCTTGAGTCCGTCAATGCTGCCACTTGGCCAATCCATCTTGTTGTGGGTCTTCCTCTTTTTCTCTGACCCTCCACCTTACCAAACATGATATCCTTCTCCAGAGAAATTAAAATAGTTTGAGTCTTTTTAGAGCTTATAGTAAACTATTTACTGGTACCCTACTTGTCTTACAGTTCCACACCAGGACTCCAAACTATTAATTACATCAGGAAAATATTTACTACAACCAGAGAAATGTGAACTCTCACTTGGTATTCTATACAGTGTTAATATTTCTCAAACTAAATTACTCAAGCACCAAACTATATCCTCAACAAGAACTGAATATCAAGTGAGAAAATCAAACAGAAAAAAGAAAGCGTACATTAAATAAAATTATTAAAAGGAGAGAGATGTAACCAAACTCTAAATTTTAAAATAATATATATTTTATACCTTTTGAAAAATCTAACCCTACATAAAAATAATGCTACAAAGAGACAAATTTGGCTGTATGAATTACCAGCAATTCTTTATAATGCCTTTCCTATGTGTTCCTTTGTTTCAATTCCTTCTACCACCAACCTGGACCAGGACCTTACTAATTTACACTGCAAAAAATATCAAATCTGATCTCCCTAGATTCCCTGCCTCTAATCTGTTCCTCTTCTTAACTTGAAAGATTGCTTACAAGATTAATGAGTCTGAAATATTCCTTTTCTTACTATCAGCCCTGTTCAGTGATTTCAAATGATTCCCACATCTTCCCATTGTCCTCTCCCTCCACTTATCTGGTCACTCCACCCTTCCCCACTCACTCTGTGCCACTGGAGGCTGACTGGATGCAACACTGGCATCCCATACCCTCTGACTTCTGGTTTGGGCTAGCCAATGAGAGCAGGAAATCAGAGGGAGGGAGGAGAATGAGGTCAGGAAACTAATTTCCTCCTTCTCTCCAAGAGATGTCTCTGGATTATGCAAACATTAAAGCACAGAGCTACTAAGCAAAAGGTTGAAGATTTGACTCCACCCAGAGGCCTCTCGGATGAAAGACCTAGCAATCTACTTCTGAAAAATCACAAAACACAGTTCTAATCGCACAGACATGGAGTCACTATGAGCCAGACATTGCTTGTTTTTTTCAAAAAAAAACCTTCCAGGGCTGGTCACCTCCTTCAACTTTAACTCAGATCTTCTCAAATGATCCTTTCTAAAAGCCTTCTCTAGCTCTCATTCATAACTACTCCATGATCTCATCTCTTTGGCTTAGGAGTGTTAACCAGCCCTGTTGCTAGCTCTGGGGTACAACTCTCTTCCTTGTGGTTACTCTAAAACTCTTTCCACAGTTTGTAAATCGTATCTTTATTAAGCTTTGCTTAAATCAGTTTAATAAGTCATCTATTTTTTGCCAAGACTTTGACTGAAACAGGTCAAACTACTTAACCAAAGTAAACCTCCTGACTTTTCCAATTTTGCCTCCCATTACCCATGATTCCACCTCTACCACAATTTAACTTCCTCACTGCACAGAGCAGCTCTGCATATCCTCGCCTCTGACCATAGCCTTTTCCTCTTGTTCAGAAGAACCTGCCTCCTCCAGGCCACCTACACAAATCCTATTCTCCAGTCAAGCTCTAGGTCTACCCTGACCTCCCCATGATGTTTTACCAGCCTGCTTAATCTGTCAGCAATCTTTCCCTGCTTTGAACATTATATTTGGCACTTACATTTTTATTTAACATTTCCTTGCTTTACTGTTTGCCTATGAGAGTGTAAACTCTTCAAGGGCAGGAAATGTTTTCTACTTCACCACTGGCTCCACAGAACTCAGCAAAGTTTTCTTAAATCCAAACCAAACCCACTGTGGTCAAGTCAGTTATGACTTATAGCAACCCTGTATAGAGTTTCTGAGGCTGTAACCTTTATGGAAATAAAAAGCCTCAGCTTTGTCCTTCTGAGAAACTGGTGGGTTTGAACTACCAACCTTGTGGTTAGACATCCAGGGCTTGTCCTGCAGTCCCACCATGGCTCCTTATATTTTATTAATTTTGTCTTCTGAGTTCTTTCCTATAAAAATTTTTTTTTTAATTATTGCCAAGAGCAATACTGTGACTTACAAAAATCTTACTACTAGAGTATTAAGGAGCTCTGGTAGCATAGTGGTTATGAATTGGGCTGCAAACCACAAGGTCAGCAGTTCAAAACTACCAGTTGTTCTACGGGAGAAAGAGGAAGCATTCTGCTCCCATAAAGATTTATAGCCTCGGAAACCCTGTACAGGGCCGCTATGAGTTGGAACCGACTCCATGGCACATCACTACCACCACCACTATAGTATTATTCTTTATCACAATATACAAGAAGATTATCCATGACTTATATTTTCCAAAAAAGGAAGTGAAGTAGTAGTGATTATCCATAATGAAAAAACTCAGCAGAATATATCAAGACTTGATAGAGAAACATTAAAAGTTATAAGAAAAATAAACCTGACTAGAGAAAAAAAAAAGAAATGGAATTATTCCATTTACTTCTATGCCAACCAGTATTGCAGGAAGAAAGAAAGGAGCAAGAGACATTTGACATTAGCTACAATTGCCAGGTTGCAAAAAAAAAATGTTTCAAACCTACTTTTACTTGGAAACTAGGAACATTTCCAAGAAGCCAAAACAGGAATTTTTATCATCTGCCTAGCCCATGAACCTGCCAATTTCAAATGACTTTAAAATAAAAGCCAGGGGAAAATCCAAATGGAGCAGTTTCCTAAATTGTAGCTCCTTGGTGATGAATGGTATAGATTGCCTTTTCAGCATCATGATCACACACAATAGCAAAAGATATGGAAACAGTGCCCGTCTTAAATCCTACACAAAGTAGGCAATAGCTAATGTAGTATTGTTGTTAAGTGTAGTAGAGTTGGTTCAGACACAGCCATCCTGTAGGGTTACTGAGGGGCTGCTGTTGTGTTTGAACCACCAACCCTACAGTGCTTATCCTGCTGTGCCACACCAAGACTCCAGCTAATGCAGTGTTGTTGTTAAGTGCGGTCGAGTCCATTCCAACCCACAGCGACCCTGTATAGGGTTTCCAAGAAGTGGTTGGTGAGCACTGTAGCTCAAATTGACTTTTCAATGCTGTGCATTAACTCACAGCACCACACCATGACTCCTTAGCTAATGCAATGTTGTTGTTGTTGATACCATGGAGTCAGTTCCGACTCATAGGGACCCTGCACAGGGTTTCTGAGGCTGTGAATCTTTACGGGAGCAGAACACTTCATCTTTCTCCCACAGAGCTGGGAGTCACACCAGGACTCCTTAGCTAATGCTATAGACAACATTTAAACAGCTACTTGATCATCTTTCACATCAATGTAAAACAAGGTGATGAAAGTAATTATAGAAGAAAGCAGATCTTACTAGAAACAAAGATTTATCTAGAAAAAAACATTGTTTTAATTATAAGTGATAATAATGTTTAATGTAATGAAAATCTATCAAGGAGTATTGCCAGTAAAACTGTGTATTAACTGCAAAGTAAAATGCCAGAAAGTGGATCTTATCTGCCAAGATGGCAAAGATGGTGTAGAATCAGGCAACAATGTGTTCTGCTGTACATAGCGTGTCACCATGAGTCGGAGCTGACTCAACTGCAGCTAACAACAAATAAAGACAGAAAAAAAAAAGATTATTCTAAATTTTACTCTCAAGTCTGAGTTTATATCTGACTTGTGTGCACCAATATGGTGATCCAAGTTGACATCTTCTCTGATGATTACTTTATGGTTAATCTAGACAACTTTACAAAAAGAGGTAACTGAACCATTCTTTTTGGTCTTCCCAAGACCATCAACATAAGCCAATATGATCAAATATCATGGCCAGCTGTTACTATCCAGGATTTCATAAGCCATTACTATCACTGGTGGTGGTGATGATTATGTGACATGGAGTCCATTCCAACTCATAGCGACACTGTACAGGGTTTCCAAGACGGTAAATCTTTATAGAATCAGAAAAGTTCATCTTTCTCCCACAGAGTAGCTGGTAGTTTTAAACTGTTGATCTCACTCTTCGCATCCTGATTCATACCCCACTAGGCTACCAGAACTTCTTCCCTCACCACCACTATTACTGTCTAAATAAGATATGCTAGAATTGACCAACATATGTAGACAGTTCTATAACCATGGCCTTGGATTTATCCCTGAAATATCTTCCACACCACCTCTGCTTGGTATTGCAAAACTTCCTGCATTTTTTTTGCCAGCTTACCAATACAGAAAAACAGAATATTGTGTCCAGACTATGGATTTAGTGTATCTATGTCAGAAATCTACCACTGTCCCATTATTGTGACAAGAGTTACTTAATGTTACCTAAGGAGACCTGGTGGAGCACTGCAGGATAATGGACTAGACCACAAGGTCAGTTTGAACCACAAAGTCAGCAGTCAAATTCACCAGCTGTTCCTCAGAAACCCTAAACAGGATTGGTATGAGTTGGAACAGACTGGACGGCACTTAACAACAAAAACAAAGGACTCCTGTTATAGCACTCTAGGATAAGCACTGGACCGCAAACTACAAGGTCGGCAGTTCAAACCCATCAGCTTCTCCCCTGAAGCCCTAGGCAGGGTCACTATGTGTCGGACCCAACTCAACAGCACTTAACAATAACAGCAAAAATTATTTAATGACTCTCTGGAGGATCAAGGGTCTGAGGTATGCATTGCATCTCAATGTGAAGAAAACAAAAATCCTCACCATTGGACCAATAAACAACATTTTTATCAACAGAGAAAAGATTGAAGTTGTCAAGGACTTCATTCTTCTTGGATCAACTATCAACACTCACGGAAGCAGCAGTCAAGAAATCAAAGGACAAATTGCATTAAGCAAATTTGCTGCACAAGACCTTTTTAAAGTGTTGAAGAGCAAAGATGACAGTTTGAGAACTAAGGTGCGCCTGACCCAAGCCATGTTATTTTCAATAACCTCATATGCATGTGAAGGCTGAACAATGAATAAGGAAGACCGTAGAAGAATTGATGCATTTGAGTTATGGAGGAGAGTATTGAAAGTGTCGTGGGCTGCCGAAAGAACAAACAGATCTGTGTTGGAAGAAGTACAGCCAGAGTGCTCCTTGGAGGCCAAGATGGCCAAACTTCATCTCTCATACTTCAGACATATTGTCAGGAGGGACCAGTCGCTGGAGAAGGATATCATGTTTGGTAAGGTAGAGAGTCAGAGAAAAAGAGAAAGACCCCCCAGAGAGATGGATTGGCAAAGTGACAGCATCAATGTGCTCAAGTGTGGCAACAATTGTGAGGTTGGCCTAGGGTCGCTATGAGTCAGTACCAACTTGATGGCACCTAAAAACAACAACATACTTTTCATTTAATATTTCATAAATTCTGGTATTGTGCTACTACTATATTGCTGTTAGGTGACATCCAGTCTGTTCTGACTCATAGTGGCCCTATGTACAACAGAAAAATACAGCCTAGTGCTACATCATCCTCACAGTAGTTACTATGTTTGAGCCCATTGTTATAGCCACTATGTCAAGTCAGCTCACTAAGGGCCTTCCTCTTTTCCCTGGAATCCTAGTGTGGTACTGTGGGATAAGCACTGGATCACAAGGTCAGTTTGAACTGCATGGTCAGCTGTTCAAACTCACCAGCCTCAGAATCCCTATACAGGGGCTCTATGAATTGGAACTGACTCGATTACACTTAACAACAACAACTACTTTGCTTAAGTATGTACTCCAGAGACTGATCTCTCCTGATAGCATGTCCAAATAAGTGAAACCAAGTCTTACCATCCTCATGTCTAAGGAGCATTCTGGTTGTACTTTTTCCAAGACAGATTTGTTCTTTCTTCTGGTCGTCTATGGTATTTTCAATATTCTTTGCCACCACCATAATTCAAATGCATCAATTCTTATTTAATTTCCATATTCATTGTCCAGTTTTCGAAGGCGTATGAAGCTACCCCCATACATATATTCAATGTGTCTATTGTCAGTAAGTGCCATCAAGTCAGTTCCTATTCATAGCGACCCTGTATAAGGTTTTGAACCACCGACCCTGTAGTTTGCAGTCCAGTGCTTTTCCTATACAGCTAAACCAGACGTCTTTTAAATGTGAGTCCACATTCTCAGCATGCACAGTCAAAGTTAAAAGCTATACTATTGTTCACCACCTGTGAGAGCAAAGAAAATACATCAGATACTACCCAGTTAAGAGTCCCTGGTGATGAAGTGGGTTAAGAGTTGGGCTGCTAACCACAAGATCAATGATTTAAGCCCACCACCAGCCAATCCACAGGAGAAAGATGAAGTGTCTGCTCCCGTAAAGACTTAAAGCTTTCAAAACCCTATGAAGCAGTTCTACTTTTCCTTATAGTGTTGCTATATGAGTCAGAATCTCCTTGTTAGCCATGGGTTTGGCTCTACCATCCAAGTGAGTTTTGTCTCTCATTAATTTTTCTTTAATTGTTCTTGTCTTTTAGCTTCCTCAATTTTCATTTCACTGTAAGAGACCATGTATGTTATCAGAGACGTTCCATTTCTGCTACACTTTTTTTTTTTTTTTTCACTTATTTTGAGAGAGTGCAGATCTCAGAATTATCTAGGTACCTAACTAAATCTGTAAAATTTCAACCTCCAGACTTACTCTGTGCCTGGGTAGCCCATGTGAACTCAGAGGAAAGCCCTGCTTGTTCCCAGAGCAAAGACAGGGAGAAGGGTACTTGTGTGTGGTCTTATGATATCAGAGGCCAAATCCAGATCTTCAGAACAGTGCTTCTATTCCGAGCCACCCTAGTACATGATTGCAAGTGTGGCCCAAATATGCCACAACTTCTGAGAGGAATTTCAAACACTTTCTTGATAGTGCTTTCTAACTAATTTCATTGTGAAGTTCAAACACAAGTGATCTCATTAAACCATTATAGGCTCCTCTTTTAAAAGGATTAGATTAAATAATATTTCAGCATTCATAGGTTATTTTGTCTAATTCAATCCTCACTAAAGAGTATGTGTAAAGTCAAGAATATGGTACAATCCTAGTGATGCATCAACAGCATATATGTGTGCTTTCACAAAGACTACATGGTTATAAAATGACACTGTTCTTGAGGACTCTAGATAGTTAGCTCAATGGAGCTTCGGTACTTTGTCTCTCAGTGAAATTCTGAGGCCACTTCTAGGTTATAAAGACTTTTATTCTGACAGCACTTGAGACGGCATATTCATCTCTTGAAATATCAATAAATATTTTATAATATAACCACTCACTTTTGGTTTATAGTAACAGAAGTCCTTTGGTTTTTCAGACTCAGGAAAGAGGAACAGAACTCACTGATTTGTTTACAGTTGCACTGGAGCTCAGCATCATTCTGGCAAACAAGAGATTCAAGGTGGATCTCACTGACTCCCAGTCCCCATGTTACCAGGAGCTAGCAGCCAAGGCTCAACTTCAGGTGACTGAGCACACTCCAAACAACTACATACCAAGTTATGGCTCAAATTCTGGGGCCAAAAGTATCTATGCCCTTCTTATAGCTTCATGTGACCTAGCAGCCATTTTAACCATTAAGAAGAAAGAAAAAAATGACAATGGATTCCAAAATATTAAGACAAAAGAATTTTCAAGAAACTCAAGCGTAGAGGCATCCAACTCAAAATGGGCAGGGGAAACTTTCCATGATGAAATCCAAAAATGAAATTGGAGAAGTGTCGGGGACTTACCTCGACATAGTTGTGTTGTTCACGAGTGTTTGGTTCACGAGGAGGGGAGATCCAGCGGCGATAGGGATAGCGAAAAAATACACAGACAAACACAAGAAGGACAATGAGGCACCCCAAAGCCAGGGTGGATACATCACTGGTGGGCAGGCTTGGGACTACAGGCATCATGGCCTCTGCAGGCAGCAACTCACTGCCCTGCAATCTTTACTGCATGCCTTCCAACCCATAATGCACTACTATCTTTACTCCATGCCTTCCAACCAGTAATGCACACCTGGGGAGGCCCGGGCCTCTGCTTTATTTAGGGGAGGAGTTTCACACCAAGCTGGGAGGGACTTAGGCAAGGTACAGCTAACATCAGTACTTTTCCAGACATTCAGGTAACTTTACATCATACTTCACTGGTTCGAATCCCAGGCCAGCAACTTGGATTCTCAGGCCTAACTAACATATCTATAGCCCCTGAGGTCAGTTGGGGGAAGGTGAGAGTTCTGCAGGAGACGCCCAGGTGAATGGGCTACACCTGGAAAAGGGATTAGGGAGGATGGGTTCTTTGTCTATAGAACAAAGAACCGAGAAATAGCTAAGATATTTTTAGTTAATCCTTTTGGAGAAAGGCTTGACCTTGCAACCTTTAGTATTAGCTTTAGGAAAATATCACATTTATCTGTGGATTACCAAGGGCTCCGTGTATTAAATTAATACATGTAATAATATTAAGATGAAAGCAGTTTGCCATTAACTGCCAGTGGCCTCATTTGTTACACTCGGGCCTATAGGGCCTCGAACCTCTGACCAGTCGTACACGGTCCGCAACAGAGAAGGGCATTCCACCAGCACATGTTCAGGCTAAAGATGAGGAGAGATTTGCAAATGACTTGTAGTTCTGGGAAGTAGAGTACAAAGGAGAGGGATGAAAAGGAAGTGTTGTAAACTGAGACTGGATAGTAAGACTGGGGTTAAATCACAACACATCTTAGAGTTGTTATGCTGCAGGGAAAAAGAACATTTTAATTTAATCAGGGTCTGGTGAACATGTTGATAGTCAGAGACGGAAAATACCTCTGGAGCAAGTACCTCAGAAAAATGCCATGTATTTATTGGCTACCCAAAAAGGGGGGGGGGGGGCAGGGGGGAGGGAACTTCAAAGGCAAGAAGTGACTGGCTTACAAGCTTTCAAGAGGGAATCTAGATCCAGAGGGCGTGGAGGAAGGTAGAATTGCCACTGAGTAGTATCCAATCTGTCTAGGCAGGGATGACGAAAGGAGATAGGGATAGGTCTCTTGTGGTACAATAGTGAATAATTGTTATCAGGACTGATTGTGAGGGTTGGAAATGTAAAGGTAGACATTTTGTAGCAAGGAGGGGACTGATTAACTTTGCAGTCTAGGAGCGGAGGTCCCTGGGACCATCAAGGGAGAAGAGCGGAGAGCAGGACCCTACCCAGAGAAGCAGTGATGCCAGAGATGGAGGCAGAGACTGACATGGAGAGATGGATCAGCTGGGGACTTTAGATCCAGAGAGGGAGAGGGGCTGTGTGCTGAAGACCTGGGGACAGACTTGCATAGTATACCCTTTTTGTTTGGTTGATGATGCATGGAGGGGATTGTAACCATGGCAATGAATCGATATACGATAGGTAGAATTTAAAACAAATGTTTTCCATGTAAATTATCACATAATTCACAATAAAACATTTAAAAAAAAAACAAACAGCATTATACTTCATGACAAAAAAAAAAAAAAGTCACGTATTTAAATTGCATCAGACTGCAAAGGTGGAAATATTATGCAAAGACAAAGTCTCATGGTTTAAAAATATTTATATTTCAACTAGCATGCTCCCTATTTGGTTCAAATCCCTGTCATACCTCAGAAATGCTATGCAGGGTCGCTATGAGTCAAAAGGGACTTAAATGCACTTACCAACAACAAAATCTAGTAGAACTCAATATTTTCCTTCTCTCAAATGGAGAGGAGATGAATGAGTGAAGGATTCTTAACTTCCAGACTTTCTCTGTCGCAGCAGTCAATAAAAAGCAAATAATCATTTCTACTTCCTATAACCTTGAAAGAGAAAGCATCAGCATAAGGTATTTATGAGCCCCATCAGTCCTATTGGTTCCATTTGCATAGTCACTGGCATCTGGAAGAAGGAGCTCCTTGCTTACAGCATCTTGTTCCCCCTCTGGACTACTGAGCCTCCACCGGAACACCTCAGCTGCCTGCTCACAGTCTGCCATCAGATAACCAATCAGCCCACCGCAACCTAATATCGGCCTTAGCAAAGCCATTCTGGCCTAACCAGGAATTAGTGAACTGTGCTTTGCAGTAATTTAATTTCCACAATAAACCTAATGAGCAATTTAATACGAATGTCAAAAGGAACCCTTAGTTGTTGTGTAAATGCTTTCTCCTGTACACACATTCATGTGAACTCCATTTGGCTGCCTTTTAATAGCTCTGTTAACATACATTAACGTACATTCCAGCAGAATCAGGGAGGCCCCTGTGCATTTAGTATCATTAATAAGGTTAACTGGGCACTTAATTAGCAATTTAGTAGTGAGTGCTCCATGATTTGGAGAACCCAGAAGATTATTTAGTAGAATTAACTGAAGGCCTTTGTCTTGTCTTCCCTAGACGCCTTCTGCACCCTCCTAAACAAAGCTGATTCTTAATCACAAACAGATTCACAAAGAGTGCATGGACACAAACAATAAATCTCCTCCACCCAAGTCAGAGCCTTAGATCGCTCCAAGAAGGGAGGAAGCAGGAGGATGTACCCACACAGCACTCTTTCCTGTGGTTGCTGTTGATGTGGGTTTCCACACAGGCAGTTCTGTGCTTGCTTGATAGTTAGCATATGTATAACAATGTTTCTGAACAAGATAGAAGGAGGCTTCAGGATCTGAATCTTCCTGCTTCAGAAACCTCAGTTCATTCTTATACTTCTGGTTCCTGTGACTCCAAAGCTCCTTGTCACCACAGGCCAGATCTGACCTGAAGCAACCACACAGCCCTTTCCTGTCTGCACCCACAATAAACACAGGCATGGGTTTAGGGTCGAAATCTAAGCTTCTAGTTCTCCATTAAGCCTGTTTGAATACTGAGGACAGGACGTAAACTTATTATTCAGATCCCTTGACCCTTAACCTGTCTTTTCCTCATTAGGTTTTTCAAAAAAGTTTGACCAAAGACTTCTTTCCTTGCTAAGCTCTATGTTGTTACTAGTTGCCTTTTGCACAGAGTAGAACTGCTCTGTGGGGTTTTCAATGCTGTGGCCTTTGGGAAGCAGATTCACAGGCCTGTCTTTCAAGGTGACCCTGGGAGGGTTGAACTGATAATGTTTGCACCACCCAAGAACTACATGATTCTTGTTAAGTTGTTAAATTCCAGTCCAGTCGGTCCTGATTAATAACAACCCTGAACCACCAACCCTGTGTTTAGCAGTCCAGTGCTTATCCTACAGTGCCACACCAGGACTCCTACTAAGTAGTTGTTGTTGTTGTTAAGTGCCGTCAAGTCGATTCCGACCCATAGAGACCCTGTATAGGTTACTGCCTGGTTATGGTGAAGTAAGAGACTATCTGCCTTTCAAGAAGGTGGTCATCTTGTAGGAGAGCTAGAGGATAAGCAAATAAATGATAACACAGTATCAGACTCTGCCCTGGGTTAATAAAAACATAGATATTAACCAAAAATCCAGTTCCTTTCCATTTAACTCTGACTCACAGTGACCCCATTTGTGTAAGAATAGAGTTGTGCTCCATCGGGTTTTAATGGCTGATTTATCAGAAGTATATCACCAGACCTTTCTTTTCAAACACCTCTGAGTCGATTCTAATCATCAGCCTTTTGGTTAGCAGCAGAATCTGGTTACACTTTGCACCATCCAGGGACTCCCTGCCCTGCATTAGGTACTTTTTGTTTTTATAATTTATTTTATATTTTTGTTGTTGTTGAGAATATATGCAACAGAACATACACATACACTAACTCAGTAGTTTCTACATGATCAATTCAGCGTCACTGATTACATTCTTTGACTTGTGCAACCATTCTCATCTTCCTCTTCTGAGTTGTTTCTCCCTTGCCCCGCTCCATTAGGATAAACTCACTGCCCCCTGATGTTCCTATGTAATCTTTGGAGTGGCTGTTGTCAGTTTGATCCCGTATAGATAGATCTGTTGTTATTAGGTGCTGATGAGTCAGTTCCAACTCATACACCAGAACAAAACTCTACCCAGTTCTGCATCAACCTCATGACCATTGCTATATTTGAACCCATTGTTATAACTACTCTGTCAACCTATCTCATTGAGAATCTTCTTCTTTATCACTGACCCTCTACTTGAAAAAGTATGATATCCTTCTTCAGGGACTGACTGGTCCCTCCTGATAACACGTCCAAGTTACGTGAGACAAAGTCTTACCACCATTGCTTCTAAAGCACATCCTGGCTGTGCTACTTCAAAACAGATTTGTTCATCATTCTGGCAGTCCATCTTCAATATTCTTCCCCAGTACCCTAATTCCAATGCATCAGTTATTCTTCAGTCTTCCTTATTCATTGTGCAGCTTCCACATGCATGTGAAGTGATCGAAAGTACCCCAGCTTAAGTCAGGTGCACCTTAGTCCTCAAAGTGATTTATTTGTCTTTTAGCACTTTTAAGAGGTCTTTTGTAGCAGATTTGTCCATTGCAATACGTTGTATGATTTCTTGAATGC